CGAACTCTCGCCACTATCCGATGCAATATCAATACGTGTACTGAATCTCCTGTGACGGTAGCTATGCCCTCATTTGCAATCCCCTCGACCTCGTCCATGGAAACTATCTACAATTATATTGTAATATTGATATAAGAAACCAAAAGCTAACAAGAGATTTGTAGGTGTAAAAAATTAATTTCCCAAAGCAGGGATTTCGTTTGTATTGATAAGAATAGCTTATTACAAACTAATGAATTAAAATTATAACAGAAGCGGAGGGAATGCCCTTCTTGTTTAACGTGGGGCCTTTGGTAGCAGTAGGACGCTTCGCTTGGTTCTCACACCGAGTTTGCTTCCCTTGGACGATCCGATCGAGATTGTAGATGAGCTTCAGTACGCAGTAGAAGCTCATGTTGATCGAGTTTGGACTTCCGAGCTCAATGGCGATCAAGGCCGAAAGCTAGAGGGAGACACTACAGTACATGATCAATGCAAAGATTCAGTCGTCAACTCTCTCGGAAGTAGCGAGCTAATGGTCCGGTTAACTGATTGAATCAATTAAGCAACCGCGAACCTCCTTCCTGTAGCCAGGAGAAACCCATAAATAGAAGAGAGACGGCGTGATCGCTCCCTTGAATCATGGGATGTGACCATGTACTGTTGAGAGATATCATGCCTCTCACTTGTACTGCGAGCGGCTGTTTGAGGGGCTCGGAGCACTGTACTCCTCCTCTTCACGTTGCAGGAGATGGGAAGGCCCATCCCTGTACGCGACAGCGTAGTCGCCAGGTACTCTGTCGAATTCGTTGATTGCTTGGCTGGTTGCTTGAACATGTAGGCGACTCTCAGCCACTTGGGCGAACTTGACTCGTGTAGGCGAATCAAGTATGCAGGAGAGCCTCCGATCGTCTGGCGCTGCAGACACGTTTGGCGGTTAAATGAACTTAACCCATGCAGGCGAGTTGAGTATGCAGGCGAGTTTTCAACTAGCCACTTGTACTGTGAGCGGCTGCTTGATGGACTTGAGTACTGTCCCTTCACGTCGTGGGAAATGGGGAGGCCCATCCCTGTACGTGATAGTGCAGCCGCCTAGTATTCTGGAGAGTCTAGCAGGCTCGCTAACCCCATGGCTGATTGCCTGGATATGTAGGCGACTTCAGCTCTTGAGTAAACTTGACTCGTGCAGGCGAGTCAAGTACGCAAGCGAGTTTCTGGTCGCTTGGCGGATTGCCTAGACACGTAGGCGAGCTCAGCGATCGTGTGGTCTTGACTCATGCTGGTCAAGCATACGGGCGAGCTTACTTCCTCTGGCGAACTCAAATCTTGAGTGGACTTGACTCGTGCAGGTGAGTCAAGTGTACAGGCGAGTTTTTAGACCCTACTGTAGTCAAGGCAGTTTTTATACCCTACAAGATTGAACATTCTATTATAATTTTTGCAATTTACTTACCCATCGTCTCTCATCTACCCCTCTTGGTACATATCGGGATTGTTGTGAGTGAATCTCGATTTCGCCAACTGGAGGTGTAGTTTGAGTGATTATCCAATGTCTAGTAATCCCCCAATACCATTTAATGTAATCAACTTCCTCCATCGGAGGATAAAGCTGATCGACAATAAGTTGATGTTGATCATTCCACCTAGCAATGTATGGTTGATGTGTGCACCGCCAATCAATTTGATGTCCACCTTTTGACGCATTTCTCTCTATTTGTTCGACAGATTGTGGAGCGTGTTGCGCGAGTCCAAACTGTCTAAACATGCAATCGGGTACGTGCATCTCCATAATCTCAAAACAAACGAGAGGAACTCTGGCCCTCCATATGTCGTGTCCCTCCATACAAATCAGCGGTAGACAAAGTAGGTGAGGGGTGTATGGCTGCCACTCGAACTGCAAAATAATCCATATATAAATAACTCTTTGAAATATATCAATAGCTTTAAACGCATTCAATTCAAGTTCGATACCTAAAAAAAAATTTATCCGGTCGAGCTCCCCTCTGTAAAAATCTAGTTGCCTAGCCGGGGTCTCATCATAGGCTTTTGTGATATTCCATATGCAAGATAGGTTTTGTTCAAAATGTTAAATTTAAAATTAAATAAAAACAAGATTTAATTTGACGATTTTTATCTGTAGCCTAGTGAAATATGTCCATCTAACTCTCGGATCTCGCATAATCGTGGTTCCAAAACCAACCTCTCCCATGCCCAAACTTGTAGCAATGTTTAACAGCCCTTGAGCTCTTTATTTTGTATTAAAGCAACCTTTGACATTTCTCGATATAGGTATGCTAAAACAGCACTATCCCAGGATAATGTCCCGCACACATCAAAGTATTCGAGAAGTGGTAACCACCTAGCGCGAGTTCAAATGCGTTAGTCATATTTGCTAAAAATAGTGAGCAAAAATCAATACTTGAATTGGCATAAAAATCACATTCAAATGCATTATAACAATTTATGGAGTGTACTTACTTCAAATGGACTTTATGTTTACTTGAATCAGGAAAAAGAAACGTCCCGATCATGTGCAAAATATATGCTCTGGCATGTTGTTGGATCATCACTTCAGGTGCATCTTGTGGCAACGGGTTTGCAAATCTCTCCTTTAGCCACTTCAATCTAATATACCCTCCAAGCAAGGACTCCGGAGATATTCTTAACAAATTATTACATGTGTCCCTCCAAACATGCCTATCAGTCACCGTGACACAAGGGCCATCAATGCGGAGACCTAGGATCACTGCTACATCTTGGAGAGTAATAGTTGCCTCGCTGACACGTAGATGGAAAGTGTTAGTCTCCGGCCTCCATCTATCCATCAACGTGTTAAGCAGTGCCCAATCGAGCTTCATCCATTTTAATTTTGAGCAAGTGAGAAAACCAGCTTGGGATACTAGGGCAATGATGCGAGGATCATCAAGTGGCCAGCACGTATGTCCAAGGCTATGATCAATCATAACCAGCTCTTGTCCTCTCTGCACATTAATGAAAACAAATATTAGAATATAAGAATGAATAAGTAATATGTGATGGTAAATAGGTCATCATTACCGATGTAAACGATATGCTCTCTGAACAATGGCGTGACTGATCATAGAGTACTTAATCAGTAACCAACCCATCTTTACATAATGCTCATCGATTTTCGTATTATGGTTTCAAGTTTTGTTCAATCCAATCGTGGGCTTCAAGTGATAGGGATTTAATTTTCTCCTTACAATGCTCATATACCAGTGAGTTAGTTACACAACCGGCTTGCCACAATAGATTTCGTAAATTGACATCTCCATGTTTTTTTTTTAAATTAGCTCTTATATGCCGCAAGCAATATCGGTGATGATGTGGTGCACTCCACCCCTCGTGCAAGGCTCGTGGAATTTCCTTCATTCGGTCAGAAATAAAGGTAATAACTCTTGGACTTTAAACAGTCGGAATATATCTGTAAATACATTGAAAAAACCACTTCTAACTCGATGTATCCTACACCTCCACAACTGCAAAGCTATAGGAAATAGCCCACCATTTGCATCTACACCGGTCACAACCAAGAGCACTCCTTTGTACTTGCCATATAAATGTGTACCATCGATACTCAAGAGCAGATGACAAAAAGAGAACCCTCTGATTGCAGGCCCAAATGCCCAAAATACTCGGATGAACCTCTCATATTCTGGCGCGACCTCCTTAGAAACTATCTCATATTCGGTACTCGAATTTTTCCTCTTAATTGCTACAAGATAATGCGGAAGTAATTGGTAAGATTCCTCCCAATCTCCAAAGATTTTAGTCAACGCCTTCCTCCGTGCATCATATTCTTTGTATTTGGATATTGTTATTCTTTTCATATCATATACCCTTGTAATTATCTGTCCTGGAGTAAGATCAAGTTCCCGTCTAAGTTCGGGCATAATTAGCTTCATGATATAAGAGGAAGTCAAAGTCTTATGTTCATAATTTGCATTCGGATTGCAACATGTATGAAGTCCGCAATAACTAGATGACGTCAGATTTGAGGAAGGAAGAGGTGAATTGGGTTTGGGAGAGAGAGATCGCGATTGTTGGGTCGGGTTTGGGATAGGATGGAGGTCGGGTTTGGGACGTTGATTGGCTTGGGAGAGAGTGAGATAAGGTTTGGGAGAGAGGGAGATCGGGAGCTCGGGAAAGAGAGAGGGGGGGAGATCGGGAGTCGGGAGCGAGAGAGCGGGAGATCGGGAGTCGGGAGCGAGAGAGCGGGAGATCACGAGAGAAAGAGAGGGAAGCGGCTGTACCCTAATTTAGGGCACGACTGGCTCATGTAGTCCGCGATTCTACGAGATTACTAGTCCCGTAGAAATTACAGAGCCCGCTTATTTAAGGCACCAAATCCACGGGACTACTAGTCCCGTGGATTTGCTGGGCACAGGCGAATATGTCTCTACAAAATGTACGGGACTACTAGTCCCGTACGTTTTGGTAATGAACTCAGAAAATATACGGGACTAGTAGTCCCGTATGTTTTCTGAGTCCACTAAGAGCTGATTAAGTTGGCTCTAAACATACGGGACTACTAGTCCCGTATGTTTTCTGAGCATTGTTTTTCAAAATCGACCTCTTTTTGGCTTATTGGTCAAAAAAGGTCTATTTTGCTAAATATTTAGCAAAGTGGTCTATTTTTATTTTGCTAATATTTAGCAAAAGTGGGCTATTTTAAAAAATTCCCCACACTTTTTAACATGGGTGTGTTTGGTTCAATCTGATCCTATCAATCATTTACTTTGGCTGAGCTTGATCCAGTTTTCGTCATGCCTTCTTGATTACTCTTCTTACATAACAACCTCTCATCCCAAAAGTTGAAGTCATTTGAGAACAAGAGACACAGTAAGTACAGATGATAAGCAACATAAAAACTACTATGAAATAGAAATTTTATAGTATGCTATGAGCAAATTTATTTATCAGTAAATTACACACATCCTGCCTGTATACAGGGAACTAAGCCAGATACTGTGGAGGGTTAGGCATGAAAACTGTAAAAATTATGAAGTTAAGGAATGAACTATACTTGGCTGCAAACAAGTTACAAACTGGTATTGAAATAGAAAAAGGTAACAAGCCTTCCCCCCATTATTTTATCCTAAATAAACAACAGAAGCTTCAGATGAAATATGAAGCAAAAACTAAAACTACAGTCAGATCTGTACAATGAAATGTACACTTTACAAGTCTAGTCTCACTACAAAGAGGGCGAAGAAAGTCCTCAAATGATTTTCCTGTAAACTTCTAAGGCTTGGCTTTCACCAGCTTTACGTTGGTATAGAACCGTTTGAGGTCTTTCATCGCTGCTTCTTCGATCTGAATTGATCGGATGGAGGATGGTGCATCTATCTCAGGCTTGAACCAGCGGCTAGGGGGTGTACTACTAGATTCTGAAGGCGAGCTGTGAGATGATGCAATGGAGAAGCCTGAGGTCCTAACTTTTGGACTGTGAGAGATGTTAAGCTGTTTCTTTCCCTGATAAAAAGTGGTGAAACATAAATAAGCCAAGTTGAGATGACAAAAATTGATTATACGTTTTCTATGATGCAAAAAGTATCGAATAGTTTAGTAATTTATATAAGCTGAATAAATGGAGGCAAATAAACATACTTTACATGGCAAATCAATGATGTATAATGCAAGCTGAATAAAGTGGAGGCAAGTAAACATGTATACATTGTAAATTGATGAGGCATAATAAGCAGAACCTCCTGAACATGATTCTCTAGTTCCTTAGCAAGACTTAAATTTAAAAAGCTTAAGCTTATGAATTGTAAGTGAACAATGTGCATCAAGCAAATTTTAATGCTGAACACAAGAAATATCTGAAACAATTGAACATTGGAACTTTTTCATATCGTCCAAGCTCATTGATAAGGCAATATCAAGATGACTCGAAACTGCTACCTCAATGAAAAATATTATGAACACATCATCTTGTCCCAAACTCAGTAAGTGGGAAATGACAACTGTTCACAACCATACTGTTTCCCTAATAATTACTGTCTGAAGAGATTCGTCGGAAGACAACCATTTGCATGTTTTTCCAACTTTCTTACAAATAGCACCATATGTAAAAGCAAGAATAGTTTTCAAGGTCAAGAAACAAAGCAGAAAAGGGTGAGGCTTGGTTTATGAAGACCCATGTTCAAGTTCAGCCTATGACATTTTCTCTAGAGAGGAAAAAAAAGAAAAAGATATAAAATAAAAAAGAAAGTATAAATGAAGTGTTTCATCCGTGATTCATAGCTGAAGACAATTGCAGCTTCACAGTCCTCAATAACCAAGGATGCTACAAAACGACTGTTAAACAATTATGGAGCAGATAAATTTGTAAATGAGTATGCTTTTACTTATAATTCCAACCTGTTTTAGGCTTAATCAGGTGCTGCTATTATATGATATTTATAAAAGACATTATAGAGAGACACCAGAAGACATTATAAAGAAATCTGAAGATGAGTTAACTAGTTAAAACCTACTTCATACCTGCTGGATCTGAATGTCCCTTAACGATGGCCGATGCTGAACAGGAGAAGAACCAGCTGAAGACCACGGAGGTGTGCTCTTCTCTCCTTCAGATGAAGGCATAGCTCTAGGAGGAACTACAGCAATAGGGCTCGAAGGTGGTCCAGGCATAAATGAACTCAACTTAACATGTCCAGCACCAACAAGCTCTACTTGATCTTCTAGCCTTTCCTTTGTCCTACTACCACTCATGTCATTTATTTTGCTCTGCTCATTCTGAATTTCTCGAAGAGACACAGGCCCTTTTGTTATTTTTGCCCCGTGCCATGCGGGTCCCTCATTTTTGGGTGTCGGCGGTGGAGCTGGTTTAGGGGTGGGGGTGTCATCAAGAGCACCACTCAGAAATAATGATAACCCACCTTTCTTATTATTCTTTTTCTTAGTTGGAAACAAATGGGAGGCCTTATTTTTTTTAGAGTTAGAATCGCCCCTTGGACTATGAGAACAGGGAGAACAGTCATCGATGATTTTGCTTGCAATGCTTAGCTTGGTATCGACATCTTTCTGTTACAATATAAGATTACCCATATAAAGAAATTGTCTGCACATTACAATCTATATGAAAATGAATTTAGAAACTTGAAGATACAAGAAAACTAGTTAAGCTCAAGGTACTAGCATCTTGAGAAGTCATGAAAACTGACCTTTACTTCAGAAATTTGAAGATTTTTATCATCTGGGAATCCCTTCAATGTGTCCACCTTGACAAATAGATCATTGTTTTTGGAAAGAGTTTCAGCTTGTGCGGAGTCCTTTTGTTTGCTCCTCCTCAGTTTTTTAGAAACCTCGACTTTCTTATTCCCCTTTGAATCAGGCAATGCAAGCGAGGCCAGCTTAGTATGCCCCTCAAGGGGAAAACCAAGCTCTGCAAGTGCAGTCTCAATAGAGAATCTGGTTTGAAGTTTAGCAATTTGTTGGTCATCGAGAGCATGACCATTAAGCTGCTTAGTTTCAAGCATCTCTATTTGCTGTAACTTCTTCCTAAGAGCTCTGACTTGTTTGGAGACGGCTTGGTCAGCACCATTCTCTCCTTGCAGAAATAAGTCTGCTCTTGGATCTCCAAAGTTTTTTGACGCAGGTTTATTATTATCACGAGGAATGAGACCCCCAGTTTCGTCTTCTCCCTCTTCTTCACTGTAAATAACAGCAGGAAAAGTAGCTGTTGATGTAGGGAGACGCCGGTAACTCCAAGGCTCAGATGACCTTGCATCCAATAGTTTTTCAAGGCTTGCTAGAATTTCTTGGGAAGCACTCATGATAGCAGGTGCTGAGACCGTGAAAATAAAATCCAGGTTGCGTAAAACAATATCCTGGGCAGAACTAAAATAATTAGATTCAGATTAAGCAAAAACTGAAATATGATGACAGGAAAAGACTATCAATAAGTACCTCACAGTGTTTTCTAAGTTCATCAGCTCCAAGAGAATCAGCAATTTCAAGAAGTTGAATGACATTCCTTGGCTCTACAAGAAATTCTGCAGCAACCTTTTCACACAGACTTTTCAAACTTGGCGCAGACTGACGAGTCAAATCATTTTGTCTGATCATTGAACTTCTATCTTCTTCTACATCATTGAATGGAAGCTCTTCATCCAATTGTTCTGATTCCCTATTGTCTTCTGCAATTGGTTTCCTCTTGCTCATAGACAATCTTGGAAGATATGTAGGGTGATAAAGAGCAGAGACGACTAGCATATGAGTTTCACCAACACATACTGAAGTAGCTCGCTTAACACCGTGTAACCTCGTGGCAACAGGAGCCTCATCCTTATTTTTCTTGCCGTCCCACATATAAACATCACCGGTTGTTGTAACGGCAGCTGTCCAGTATTTGCCTGCAGAAATGCTCACAATATTTCTCCCGCACATGGAGTGCACCTAAAAATCAAAGGAAGTTGAATGAAAGTTTATGCCAAGACTGAATAGTGAAATGTATTTCTTTACGTCAGTTAATACATCTACAAATAAAGATAAACAAGGTCATGTGTTGTTAGTGATCGAAACCTGCTGACATCTTAAATCAGGATCCGCTGAAACCCAATAAAATAGTGCACCGTCGTCAGTGAGAGCTGTGCTATGAGTCATCCCAGCAGCAACTGAGACGACACGAAGCCTTTCCATGCGATGGAATTTTAACGGTGCATTGCCACTTTTCTTTAGACTCCTAGCAATAACCACACGTCTTGGGGTAACAAGTCTGTGACCCCAGGTGTATATCTATTAAAAAAAAGACGTCACATACAACAACAACAAAGCCTTTATCCCAAATGTTTAGGGTAAAGAAAAGACGTTACATAAACAAGAATGAACATTATACACACACAAACCTAGAGTATACTATCCATTACTTTACAGTTGGCATATGGTTACCTCGCTGTCGGCTCCTAAAACTACTGTGTGATACTTTGCTGCAGAAACTCCTCTAAAGACTTTTCCTTTCAAGTATTCAACCATACGTGGGGTGTAATTTGAGGCAGAGTTGGAGGTACCGTAACCAAGCTGACCTTCTTTGTTGCAGCCCCAAGTGAAAACTTCACCAGATTCAGTGACTGCAGCAGTGTGCTTATTTGCAGCAGAAATTGCAATTACTCTTGACCGGAGTGAACTAACACGTCTTGGTGTAGCTTGTGAGTCGACAGAAGTATAACCTAGCTGTCCTTCTGCATGCATTAAAAGAAGTAGATGAATGCAAGCATATGGAAAACATAGTAATGTTAAGGCTGTTAGCCAATTGTTTAGATTATATTATCATCATAGAAACCATGACTGTGGCCAAACTACAAGTACACACGTTTTGACACCACATAAAATAGGATATTTGAACAGGTCATTTTGAGCATACGAAACACATGTAAATTCACGGAGGCAGAGTGCCATGTTAAGTAATCATAAAAGACTACCATGAACTATAGAAGGTGGCATAAGAATGTTGTATTACCTCTATTTGATCCCCAAGTGAAAACTTCCCCACTCTCTGTTGCAATGACAGTGTGATGTTTTGCTGCTGCAATAGCCTTAACTCGCCGGGAACCTAATCCCACTGTCACCTCGCGAGGAGTAATGACAGCAGCTTGGCCGCTAGAAGCAAACACAAGTTAGCATACTTGCCAACATATATAACTCCAAAAACTTTGACGCTAAAAAGATTACAGAGAGCTCATAGCATCTATGAAGATTAATCACTTTCATATCCTAAATTATAAATAAAATTATACCCAGCCAGCATTATTAGCCTACTGAATTTAGTATTGCTATGCAGATCAAGAAATAGATACAAGAGGGACAGTTACATCATCTATCAACCCATTACCTGTGGATGTCAAAATCAGGGTGTCCAAGACGACCTCCCCTTCCAAACCCCCAGGTATAAAGTTCTCCTCTGGAACTAACTGCTGCACTATGAAATTTTGAAGCAGCAATTATCTTAATATAAGAATCCTGAAGTGAATCAAGTTTACATGGCAATTTTTGTATGTGGGCGTTGCCCGTTCCCAGTTGATAGTTTGTGCCACTCCCCCAACTGAATACCTCTGTCGCAACTACAAGGACACAACAAATAACCACATCATCCAGAAAATTTTGGCATTAGAAAATTTTAGCCAAAAATAAAATAATATTAAAGTATGGAAGATAAGTTCTGGAAATCAAGGTTTGGAAGTATAAACATAACCAACAAGTAGAAAAGTAAAAACACAAACAACGCATAATGGTAAAAGATGAGGTTGAGATAATCACCAATTTATGCTGAAGTATTATTTACACAAAATTCTCTTGCATATAATAAACAACATTGACAGTGAAGAGTTAAACATTTGTTTGCAAAAACTGTTATGTCTTAAATGGCACAAAAGGAAGAAGAAATTACCTAAATCAAGCTCATGACCTACAACCTGAGATACAGGCCCCGATAAAAGATCAACAGGGGTGCGGCACTTAGAGTCCTCTAGTATAAGGGATGCACCAGATTCTATAAGTACACTAGCCACAGCAAGATGGCCAAAGTGGAGAGCTCTGTGCAAACTGCTCCATCCTGACTCCCCATCCTGAAGAAAAAAAATTACAAGTTACACAGAGAAACCAGATTTAAAATATAAAACTATACGTAGCATATTAAATCAAGAGACTGTGACTTTGGACGATCTTCATACACAAAAGAAAATCTCATATCCAGCCAGAACTTGAAAAGTTTACTAAATTCGATCAGTTCATAGATGTAGCAGAACTTAAGTATGGCACCTAAGCCGCTTGAGAGCCATTCTCCGTATGTTGATCAGAGAACATGCCCACTGGAAACAGTTCTTAATGATTGCAGAAAGTTCTGAACTTATGTTCTAATTTCATTCGCAACAGTTCTTGTAATGAGTATATTCTGTATAATTGCAAAAATTCTATACCATAGTAACATAATTTTAATAACATCACAGCTACAAATTTCACTTTTAAAATGTCAAAGCATCCCTGTAAAATGTGTTCAGCCTCTCTGAATGATAACATGACCTTAGCTAGTGACCAGCAATGTATGCACCACAAACTTGACCAGAGATTTTCTGGTTATTGGTCCTCTAATGCAGGCCATGCATCTCACTAGAAAAACTCTCCACGATGTAATCACATGACTCACAAACTCTCAAATCAACAAGTCAATCTACATGACTTCATCAGTTAGCCATAGCTAGTCAAAAGCTTCTTTCACACGCTCTATCTATGACCATCCCTGAACCTTGCGTTTGCAATTCTGGTTGTAACATGCATTCAAAACATTATTACAAAGCTTGAGTATTTGTAAGACATGATGTCAATTTGGCAATAAAGGGTACTTGGTGCTCCTTCTATACTACTATGAAAAGAGGACTGGGGTGTTAAATCTTTTAATTTCTTTTTTGCCCTCTCAAATTTTGATAAATTCTAACTATGCCATTATCTTTAATTAATTTTTATTAAATAAATATAACCTCTTATTAACTATGCACCTCCTCACCTTCCTAAATAAATATAATTATCAATAATATTATAACTATTAATTGTTTAAAAATAATAAAATAAAATAATTTATAAAATAAGTATACACAATTATTAGTAGTGACTAATTAAATTATTATAATAATTATTTATGAATTATAATAAAATAATTAAAATAATAATATAAATAGAATAATATATTACTAAATACTATTAAGAATTATACTATAATTCAATAAGCAATAAAATAGATAGAATAACTTTTGAATCGCATAGATAGTGTAATTATTTTAATAGTATAACATAAATTATGAATTACACTATTTATTTAGTATTAATGTATTATATCATTAAAGAAATAAATAATTTAATATTATTTTTAGAGTATTTTCTTAAAAATTATTACATGATAATGAACAATCTATACCTTATAATGATTGAAAACTAACTTTTTTACAAAAAATTATTTAATATTAATAATAGTATACTAGTTGTTAATGATAGTATAATAAAGATTTATAAAATATTTATACTACTAAATTATTTAAGAGCATAATAAAAAAATAAATAAGATAAATATTGTAAGTATATAGGTAATATAATTATTTTAATAGTATAACTTCAACTAAGAATTATAATATTAAATAAGGTAAATTACAGTAAATCCCCTTGAACTTTCAGCATTTTGTAGTAAATAGACCCTATGAACTTTCGAAATCACATTAAACCCCTAATAACTTTTGAAAAAAACCCCAATATCTTTTAGATAAATTGCACCAAAACCCCCAATAACTTTTGAAATGCCTTTTTATGCCATTTCTGCTTCTAATTTATAGCGATTATTTGTAAAAATCAAAAAGTTATTGGGGGTCTTCCTTGAAACAGAAAATTCATTACGGGTTTAGTGTAATTGTGAAAGTTCATATAGGCTGAAAGTTCATAAGGTTTTATTATAATTGACCTTATTAAATAATTATAACGAGAATTAATTATTGCAATATGTTGTAGATATCAAGTGTAACCATTTAGGGAATGTCAAGAAAAAGCTAGCAAGATTAATGCAGCTTAGTTAATTTATAATTAACAACTTTCAAGCCGGAGGGGCATATTTAACAGAACTTATAGAATTGATAGTTTTATTTAAGAATAATTTTAGATTTGGGGACTTATTTAAAAAAAGGTTAACACTAGGTGATCATTATAAAAAAACATTCAATAACAATAACTACACAATAATAATTAATTCATATATTTATTTTTAAACAATCTTATTATAGAATTTTATTTATCAACACATAGTTTTCCTATTCAATAAAAAATTTAAAACTTAAAAACATGTACGTTCGCGTGCAAAGCACGTGCATTATACTAGTTCTTTAAAAAGGGGTTTAACAACAAAGTACATAGTGTAATTGTTTACTATGATACGTATACTGAAAAGAATTGCAAAGGCAAGTCCAAGCAAACCTATTGGTAAAATATGTACTGGATGTATAAAAATTCAAGAAATAAACATATGTCCGAATGTCAGGAAAACAAAATAAAGATGGAACTCTAACAGGAAGGGTATATTTGACTAACCCTAACATCAGGATCAGCACCAGCAGCCAGCAGCCTCTTCACAATAGGCACATGATTCCTCCATGTTGCAATATGAAGAGGAGTAAGACCAAACGCATTCCTTGAATCAATATTTCCACCATTCTTCTTTAGCAATACCAAAGCTGACTCCACATCAGCGATAGAACCTTGTCGTGAAACAAACCATAAATCTTTTGTGGAACTGCTTGGCGAGGATTTGCGAGAGGAGGCTGGCTTCCCAGAGCTTGAAGGTGATATTAAAACCTCCATAAATGTTATTTTGCCTATATGACACCGAAAGTACAAGTCTACCTGAAGTCTATCAAACTAAAGCCCCTTTATATTTAAACTGTTTTAATCCAATATTTGCAACTGCTACTCCTTAACAACCAAATTCTTAAGATTCACGGATAATGAGTCAAATCTTAAGAAGTCTCAACACTCAATATAAACAACAACTAATTATCCTATGACCGAAACTACACATTAAACATCCATTTATCCAAGGAAGTTGATCGTCATTTGATGGTTCATTTCATATAAATTGACAAAAAACAATTCTGCTTCATCCCTTCAAAACCATTGGCAGAAGGAAGTCACGATCTTCCATCTAAAGAGCACAACTGCAGTAATACATCAAGGAAACCACAACCCACAGCACATCCTTTTTGAATAACTCCTGCAAGAAAATGACAACACGTGTCAGATAGGGTAAGAAAACCAATATAATAGATAACAAAGTTCATCAAACATGTACTACATATATAAAGAAAGTAGTTAACCAGTGAAGTATGACAGAAAGCAGCCTATCGCAAAAAGAAGAATTGAGACATAAGGATGTATTATCGTCTTAGATACAAGAGTTACAAAAGCTATTACTGAACTGAAACTTCTCCTACATGATAAGGTCTAAACTAACTAATATCATATACAAATTTGGGATTTAAAAAATGGCAAACAATAAACAAGCCTATAAATAAATAAATAAAAGAGAATTGCAACAGTTACAATGATCGACCATTAAGCGGATTCTATACCATAACAATTTGATAATAAAGAAGCAAGATTTGGAAGCGAGAACCTACATTTCACGAACTTTCTCATCTAAAACATACTTTTGTATCCACATCATCAAAACATCAAAGATCTAGTGATTCTTAACAACCTAATTATCTACCAACCATGAAAAATTAGAACATTAACCCATGAATCTCCTGGTCCCATCGAAGAGCTACCTTAACCCAACAAACAAATCCTCTTGTTCGATATTTTGCACTAGATATAGATAGTATGGAGAAATTAATCACCATTTTACTGACTGAATTAGTCCGGTCAAGTGCTTTGAGGACCAAAGTAACAATTAAATTAACTCAGATTGATAACATTCAATATGAAGCAAGTTATGTGCATTCCAAAAGGCACATTATACTGACATTAACTCAAATGGGTTAATTACGTTCCTCTTTAAATAAAATTGAATATACATGAGAAACTTAAAAAAATTTCCTTTCACAAACCGAATAGCTAAAATATCACAGAAAATAATTCTCAACTTAAAATAATTCTCAACACAAATACATGATTGTGATAGGGATAATCAAGAGTCATTCCCAAAAGGGGACAAATAAAGAACCGACATAAGAAATGAATAGTTAAAATTACCTCGCAGAGCAACGAGTGCCCTAGATTAGTACCCACAACAATAAAAAAAAAATACAATTCTAGAAACCGATAATGGAAATCAATGACAGAACTAGCCTCCGAAAAGACCAATTACCATCAAAGACCGAACTTTTCCAAAGAAGCAGATCAATTAGAACGCGTGCAGATCAAATCGAGACCAAGATTAGATTTTGACCAGTGAAATCAAATCCCCCCATCCCAAAACGAATCCAGAACGCAAGATAAACAAAAATTGCGGGAAATTTTGCAGCACGAGATGAGGAAAATAAATCACCTGGGATCTCTGGAGAAAGGGGAAGGGATTAATGTCGATGATTTTTTTATGAAATTTCTCCCATTTATTCGATTAAGGAGGGGAATCAAGGCACGGAATATACTTACATCGAGTTTCCGCCGGACCCTCAAGGTTACCAAAATCCTCTCTCTCTCTCTCTCCCCCCTCTTGTTTGTTTCTCTCTCTCTCTCTCTCTAGAGTTCTATTTTCTAGGCGTCACGGCATTTTCTAGTTTCGAAGGGTATTTTCGGAATAAAACACGCCCCGTGGTAGTCGTCACTGGTCTGCCCAAAATCCTCGCCGTTTCTTTTTCTCCCTTCTTCTTTTCCCCTTTTTTATTTTTTTTTAATTTTTTTTTATTTTTTTGACTGTTTCAGATTCAGACTTGGAGTATTAACAAACTCAATTTTATCTCAAAATAGAAACTAGAAAATATATCGATTATTTTACATTAAAACAATCCATGGTAAATATTTTTTATGGCAATCAGTAACCTCATTAAAGAAGACTGGTTATTAAAATGTTGTCTGACTATTTGGCTTATCAATTCTAAAACAAGCTATATATGATTATGACTTAAGATGCATAAGTAGAATCTATTATATGCCTAAATAAACATGATAAATATAAGGAGAAATTTTGAAAACAGCCCAATTTTCAATTTTAATAGGCAAAATCGACCTAAACTGGAAAATATTAGCAAAACCGACCCTTTTCAGAAGAAAAGGGTCGGTTTTGCAGCGGAGCGTCATTTACGAAGTGCACGGGACTGCTAGTCCCGTGCACTTGGTCTTTAAGCAGCGCCTGGCCCATTTCTTTCGTTCTTTCTTTCTGTCGTTCTCTTCTCGTGACCACTCTTCCCCGAAAAAAAAAACCCTAACCTAATCTCGTCGACCCCCGCCGCCGACCACGCCGCCGACCACGC